AGACAGGGAAGAAGAGAGGAGAAACGGCTCAAGGAGGCGACCCCGGGTATTCGTCAGAACGTCACCCCAAAGAGAATGACGACAATTGAAGTCACCCAGCAGGAGCACAGGCTCCGGCAAGGAGTCTAGGAGGTGTTTCAAATCAGGAAGAGAGAGCGGGACACTCGGGGGGAGATAAATGGAACAAACTGTGTACCATTTCCCCACAAAGATACGAGCAGCAGAACAATGGAGAGGCGAAGGAAAAAGTAAAGGAACAAAGGGAACATCAGCCCGAATCAAGAGAGCAGAAGAATTAGAAGCCCCAGCAATGGCTGGGGGGGGGGAGAGAAAGGAATAGCCACGAAAACGACCAGGACGAGCACCAAGCATCGGCTCCTGGAGACAGACACAAAGGGGCGAAAACCGCGAAACCAGAAGTTGGAGTTCGAGGAAATTGGCGTAATAACCTCGAACGTTCCATTGAAGAATGGACAACGACGAGAAGAGAAAGGACAAAAACAGAGAACAAGGAAGAAACAAAGGCGAAAGACCAACAGAGCACGTTAAAGAATATCAGGGTCGGGATCAGGGTCAGCAAAGTCAGGGTTAGGGGGCATGGGTAAACTGAGCAAAGACGGAGGGAAGGAAACGGGAGAACAGATCAGAGGTGGGCGGGCAGGGTCCGGAGGAGGAGGAGGAGGAGGAGGAGGAGGAGGAGGAGGAGGAGACAACAGAGAGGAGCAGTCAAGGACAGCAGCAGGAAGAGGGGGAGTAGAAAGAGAGGAGCGCACCCCAGCAAGAGCAGCAACCGAAAGGGAAGCAGGGGCCAAAGAAACCTCCATAGCGGGAACAGGGGGCGCAAGCACTGAAACGGGAGTGGAAGGAGCAACAGAGCCAGAAGGAGGAGCTGAGGAAGAAAGCGAAGCCTTCTTACCCGCCGGGGAAGAGGAAGGAGAGGAGCCAGGCTTACGCTTCTGACTTAAAGAGACCGGTGTCCCAGCAACTACGTACCGGGCAACGGATTCCAGTGTCTCAACAGGAGAAGCCGAACGAGAGCACACACGACGGCCGTTAGGAGAGCGATGGACATCCGCCCGCACCGACAGGCGGCGGGGAGAGCCGATAGATGGAGGAAGAGGATGGGAAGGAGGATCGGAGGGGGACGAGGAAGGAGACACAGAAGACACGACAGACCGGGTAGAAGGAAGGGGAACCCCAGACAGAGGACCAGGAGGAGGATCCTTCGGGAGAGAACCCAAAGGGACAGAGGAGGGGGCAGTGGGCGCATCAGGGTCCAAGGCCCGGAAACGGTTGTGAGTCTGAGGAAGGCGGGAAGGACGAGGAGAGGAAGAGCGCAACACGCGAGCATAAGAGATATTAGCATAAGGCGGGAGCCGGCGAACCTGGCGCCTCGCCTCAGGAAAAGATAAACGCTCCCGGTGCTTCAAGTTGAGGACGGCTGCCTCAAGCTTGTAATGGACACACACACGGGAGAAGGTAGGATGGGCCTCACCGCAGTTGAGGCAACGAGCCTGGGGAGAAGCGCACTCCGACTTAGAGTGACCTTCGCCACCACACAAAGGACAGAGAGAGACAGTCCCGGAGCAGCGGAGGGCACCATGCCCAAACCTCCAGCACTTGTTGCAGAGCCGAGGAGAAGGAATGTACTCCTGGACAGAGCACCTGGCACCAGCAAGAATGACAGAGGGTGGAAGGGTCCTACCATCAAAGGTAATCTTCACAACCCGGAGGGGTTGACGGCGACTACCACGAGGGGGACGAGTAAACGTGTCCACCTGGAGAATAGAATGGCCCTGGGCAGCGAGGATATGTCGAATATCGTCGTGGCAGTCGCGTAGGTCCCGAACACCGGTCGCAACATGGGGCGGGAGCAAAATAGTGCCAACACTGGCATTCAACTGAACGTTCTTCGAGACCCGAACGGGGGTCTCGCCAAGGCAGGATAAGGCAGCCAAGCGGGAAGCAGCATCCTGAGAAGGAGCAGCAACGACACGCGTACCGAGACGAGTGGGGTTAAAAGTAATGGAGGCATCCACGGAATCAATGAGATGTCGATGAAGGGAGAAATCGTCAGGAGGCGCAGAATCAAGAGGGAGGAGATCAAAATATTTGGCCCACGAAGCGGGACCAAACAAGGCTTGATAGGTAGCAGAACTGGAAGGAATCGAGCGAGGGCGGCCGTGACGAGAACGGCGGTGAGAACCCCCAGAGAGAGAGGGGTTAAAAGGCGCAGTAGTTACAACTAGAGAAGGAGCCGCGCCAGGGGACGAGGTAGTCACCACTGGGGGCTTGGGGCTCGACCCAACCACAGAGGAGGGAGGGGAGCCAGGGGAAGGAGTCAGAGAGGCCAAAGGAGGAGCAAGGTCGGGGCCCAATGCAGCGGAGGCTACAGAGCCCGGTCTTCCAATACGGACCGACTCGGGGGCTTGGTCGCCCACCCCACGAGCCTGAAAAGGTAAGCCAGAAGCAGCCGAAACAGGGGTTATCATCCTGACGAAATTACGAATTCACTCACGAATGTGCCCCCACACCCACCATGGAGCCACAATTAGAGGCAGGACACCCAACAAGAAGCTATCGCCGATCTTGTCGGGGCCTCCTAGGGGTGCGTCGTGAGTATACGCCCCACAAACGCCACCTTAAGAAACCGACAGTCCGTCGAGATCGGGTTCAGTGACGAAGTGGGGATTGACAATAAAAGGTTCCCCTCGCTCTCGACGTCGGGTACTGCAGTTCTACGGGTGCAAGAGTATGCCTCCTCAAGCACCCGGGCGTCAAAGTAGAAGAAGTCCAAGGGAAGAACCAGAACGAGCAAAAGGTCGGCAGGAAACGGCAAGCAGATAGGAGAAGAGGGGGGAGAAAAACGAAACAGAAGGAAAAGGAAAAGATGCCCAGCAGAATTGGAGAGGACGGCAGCAGGAGAACAAGGCTAGAAAAGGACAGAGGACTGTCCCAAGGATCATCACACTCCGGCAGCCGCCCACTAAGCCCCCAGACGGCGACAACGAGCTGAGCGGGGAGGGGGATCTGGGGCTATAGCCTTCGTCACATCCAACTCTAGTAAACACTTCCTTACTTCCCCACTGGTAGTCTCAAACTCTTCCAGTGGTTCCTGGTTAGCTATTCCCTCACTTACCTCTGGAATTTCTCCTTGCTCTAAGGTGAAGACCTCCTGGAATTTCTTATTCAATTCCTCACACACTTCCTTGTCATTTGTAGTGAATCCTTCCGCCCCTGTGTGTGTGTGTGTGTGTGTGTGTGTGTGTGTGTGTACTCACCTAATTGTACTCACCTAATTGTGCTTGCTGGGGTTGAGCTCTGGCTCTTTGGTCCCGCCTCTCAACCGTCAATCAACTGGTGTACTGATTCCTGAGCCTATTGGGCTCTATCATATCTACATTTGAAACTGTGAATGGAGTCAGCCTCCACCACATCACTTCCTAATGCATTCCATTTGCTAACTACTCTGACACTGAAAAAGTTCTTTCTAACGTCTCTGTGGCTCATTTGGGTACTCAGCTTCCACCTGTGTCCCCTTGTTCGCGTCCCACCAGTGTTGAAAAGTTCGTCCTTGTTTACCCGGTTGATTCCCCTGAGGATTTTGTAGGTTGTGATCATGTCTCCCCTTACTCTTCTGTCTTCCAGTGTCGTGAGGTGCATTTCCCGCAGCCTTTCCTCATAACTCATGCCTCTTAGTTCTGGGACTAGTCTAGTAGCATACCTTTGGACTTTTTCCAGCTTCGTCTTGTGCTTGACAAGGTACGGGCTCCATGCTGGGGCCGCATACTCCAGGATTGGTCTTACATATGTGGTGTACAAGATTCTGAATGATTCCTTACACAGGTTCCTGAACGCCGTTCTGATGTTAGCCAGCCTCGCATATGCCGCAGACGTTATTCTCTTTATGTGGGCTTCAGGAGACAGGTTTGGTGTGATATCAACTCCTAGATCTTTCTCTCTGTCTGTTTCATTAAGTACTTCATCTCCTATTCTGTATCCTGTGCCTGGCCTCCTGTTTCCACTGCCTAGTTTCATTACTTTGCATTGTGTGTGTGTGTGTGTGTGTGTGTGTGTGTGTGTGTGTGTGTGTGTGTGTGTGTGTGTGTGTGACGCGCGTGCTTGGGTGTAAATATTTTTGATATGAAATCTCACGTTCCATTACATTCTGCAATACTGAAACATAAAACTGTGCTCATATTTAGGCAATGTGGTGCACGATTTACGATCTAATATATTTTGGGATACCAGCTATTAATATTTCATTTGTTTAGCCGAGGACGCCAGCCTGGTTGTTCAGCGCCTCACCCAGTGAGGGTCTGAGTAGATACCTCCAGTTGTAGAGGCGAGGGGGGGGGGGAGGAGGAGGAGGTCGTGGGCGTGGGTACATATCAACCACCATCGCCTCGACGACTGCCGCTGTTAAGACTCCCGTTGTTACTACAGCTCCTGCAGCTATCATCACCACCACTATTGACAACGACCACAACATGAAAACTCAGCCCACGCTGGAAACGACGCCCCATCATAGGAGGAGTTCCCATGTTGGGGTCGTTGCCAAGAGAAGTGATGATGATAGTTGCAGGAGCAGTAGTAACAATGGGAGTCTTAACAGCGGCAGTCGGTAGGGCCAATACCCCATATAGGAAATGACACCCCATAATAGAACCAATACCCCCACACTGGAAACGACGCCCCATCACAGGTACTCCACGCCTTCATATGAAAGGTGCCTCCCTACAAGGGGACATTGTCCTTTTCTCTTCCTGCGAATGTTGCAGGAATATATATCCAGGTGTGTGTGTGTGTGCGTGTAGTTGTCAGCTATGTAAATGTATCCCTATGTGCATGCGTTCGTAGGTGTTTTAGACGTGCATAGCCCAATGGACGTGCTCTGTGTCTGAGCAACAAGGAGTAAGACTGGGTAATCAACAAAGACAATGGTGTCCATGCACACTCAGCACTCCTGGCTCCCGAGGGACCTGCCGTGCTCCCTGTACCTTTGAAAAGCTTGTCGAGATAGGAAGGCGGGTTGGTCGGCACGGGCGTCGGGGGCTCCGTCTCTGCAGTAGAAACACCATTATTAATATAGACCTGTATATATATATATACTAGAATATCCCTGCATATATCTGTAAATATACCTGCATATACCTTAAATATTATCTGCAAATACCTACAATTATAACTGCATATAACTGTAAATTATATATATATATATATATATATATATATATATATATATATATATATATATATATATATATATATATATATATATATATATATATATATATTATTAAATATGACCGAAAAAGTAAGATTAATAATTCTAACACGAATTTTCTCAATCTTTCGTACATTACGCTTCACTGTTGGAGGTAAATCAAAAATCAATTCTCCAAAATTCATTTTTATTTCTAGTCTGACGCGACACGGGCGCGTTTCGTAAAACTTATTACATTTTCAACATTTCATTACATTTTACGAAACGCGCCCGTGTCGCGTCAGACTAGAAATAAAAATGAATTTTGGAGAATTGATTTTTGATTTACCTCCAACAGTGAAGCGTAATGTACGAAAGATTGAGAAAATTCGTGTTAGAATTATTAATCTTACTTTTTCGGTCATATTTAATAATATATGTCTACAGGAAAGACTGCTACCAAAATATATATATATATATTTATATAATATAATTTTTTATAAAAATATATAATATATATATATATATATATATATATATATATATATATATATATATATATATATAGGCTACTTTATATAACATTGTAATAGTGTAATTGAAACAAAAAATTGTGTTCACAATGTGTATGATCAGCTGAAGAAATTTCAAAACTCTTTGGAAACCCAAACGACAATCTCAGACTTCGTAGAAGTTGCTGGGATTCGAAATAGGAACTGACCCCACGCGGCCTGTGACAGTCCCATACCGCTCGTATGTCATCTGGAAAAGTCTGGTGAAGCTAGGCTCATGCATCTGCTCTCCAAGCCTTACTTGGTCAAAACAGACTTTCTATTTTATAGATACTAGATGAGGGAGGGGGGGGGGGTACCGACAGTATATGGATATCTCCCTTCTTCCCTCCCTGCTGATCTCTCTCTCCCTCTCATTGTATCTATATGTTGTTCTATCTCCCTTCTTTCTGTTCTCTCTCCTTCCCTTCCTTCCATCCAATTGTATTTTTCCTTCCTACCTCCCATTCTCTCTCTCCCATTCTCCCTCCAATTCTTTTACCTCGTTTCCCTCCCTTTCGTTATCCCTCTCTCCCTCCCTCTTGTTCTCTTTCCCTCTTTCCTATTCTCTCTCCCTTCTATTTTATCTTCCTGTTATTCTCTCTGCCGTGAAAAGAGAAAAAAAATGTTTAAAAAAAGGGAAGGAGAGAGAGAGAGAGAGAGAGAGAGAGAGAGAGAGAGAGAGAGAGAGAGAGAGAGAGAGAGAGAGAGAGAGAGAGAGAGAGAGAGAGAGAGAGAGAAGAGAGAGAGAGAGAGACAGACAGACAGACATTGAGGGGTAATACAGGATTTGGGGTAATACTTTAAGGAATGGATGGAACAATGAAAATATTGCGGGGAGGGAGGGGAGGGGGGGGGGCAGGAAACGCCAGGAAGGAAGAGAAAGCGTCCAGGGGACACCAGACGACGCCAAGTGATATGGATGAATGGATGAAATGGTGATGAAGCAGAGGGCAGCCACCAGGGATGGCAGGGAGGGGGCGGGGCGATGGGAGAGGAACAGGAAGGTAGGGAGGAGAGCGCGGAATGACGGAACGGGAGGGGGGAGTGGAGTGTGAGGGAAGGGAAGGACAATGGATCGGTGAGTAAGGGGAAGGGAATGGAAGGGATAAGAGGAAAGGAAAGAGATAAAAAGGGAGGGAGTAGTAATAAAAGCAGCAGGAGGAGGAACAGTAGCAGCGACAGAGGAAGCAGTAGCAGTCACAGAAACACTGCAATAGCAGTAGCAGCAGCAGCAGCAGCAGCAGCAGCATCAGCATCAGCAGCAGCATCAGCAGCAGCAGCAGCCACCATCCCCACCACGGCCTGGGTCGCCTGACTTTTTACCGGTGCGACTCTCACGCTGATAAGTGAGTTTCCTAATTGTGGCGGAAGAAGGCGTAGAAAACGCCTCGCTAAGAACGGCAGGAATGGAGAATGATAAGACGATATAAAGATTCTCTTCAGCAGGAATGGTATTTTCTACATTTTGTCCTACATTTTGTTAGCAGTGCATAGGTACCTGGGAGTTAGACAGCTGCTACGGGCTGCTTCCTGGGGATGTTACAATGCTTTCTGGGGATGTTTTTACAGACCGGGCCGCAGGTACGCTAAGCCCCGAAATCATCTCAAGAGAACCTCAAGATAACCTGGTGAGAGTTGAACATGAAACACCCTCCCAAACGCAATTCAATACTGTTCAACCTCTCAACCAATTTAAATGAGAAATAGGGAAGTACGTAGTTGATATGTTGATGTCATTGAATGATTTCAGCCCCTCTACATAGTGAAGAAATTTAAATCCCACATCCCACAGATCTTTCATTCTTGTAATAAATACATTTTTCTATCGCTATTTATCAAAGGGGATGCATATGCAAATACACATAAGTTATAATTCCCCACTACCATAATTTATACCTGGTCAGCCTACTTAACATCAGTTGATATCTTCTCATAAAATAAAAAATTATGTATATCATTCGTGACTGAAAGTAGTTGAACTATCAGGGGAAAGCGCCAAGTCATTGCGACTATATAGCAATTGGAAAGAGGTCAGGATAAGGCTTTGGCATGGGACGAGGGGAAGGAGTGGTGCCCAACCACTTGGACGGTAGGGGATTGAACGCCGACCTGCATGAAGCGAGACCGTCGATCTACCGTCCAGCCCAAGTGGTTGGGGGTTCGTGACTGAGCCACAGTGGAAAATCCAAGTGAGGGAAGATATTCTTCTTGCCAGACCTGAGGCCTGCTTCTTGACAGTTTGACTCGTGTGTTTTGATAGATCTCACGCGTGCAGAAACACTGGCACTCCTACAACGATTTAGGTGAAGTGGTGGAGGCAGACTCCATACACAACTTCAAATTTAGATACGACAGAGATCAATGTTCTCAGAAACCTGAACACCAGTTGATTGGGGGGATTGAGAGGTGGGACTCGGGAGATGTAATCCATCCCCCGCAAGCATAACTGGGTTAGTACAACCTGCGCCAGGCAACACACAACGCACGCCAGGCAACACAACCTACGCCAGGCAACACACAACGCACGCCAGGCAACACAACCTACGCCAGGCCACACACACCACATGGGGTGTTGATAATTCAAGGGAAGTTTACGAGGCCAACTTTCAGCTGTTGTAACTTACAGTTTGTTTACTCCATTTATACAACACTTGCATTAATAAATACAACTTTTAGCGCATTTCACGGTAACTTTTTCCACGAGGTTCTGCAAATGCTAACTTGAAGCAGGTTCGACATACGATGATAAAATTATATACAACTCAAAGTATATACTGTACTGTGAAGGGGGTCAAAGTATATACTATACTGTGAAGGGGGTCAAAGTATATGCTGTACTGTGATGGGGGTCAAAAATATACTCGTTAACGTCCATATTTGACCCCGGGAAGAGACCCCTGTTCACAGCAACACAGATTTAGTGAACATCTGCGATCCTGAACAGTTTAAATGCACAGCTTTGATAAACGACCTGACTGTTCGCACATGTGCAGTGTTGTTCGTGTACATGAAGCTTCTCAACACGATTGAATTACTCTTGCGTGTAACTCGAAGCGTCTTTTGGGGCACCTGCATGGGCGCACGCTTGTGTGTATGGACGCTCACTCGCCCATCCACAGGGCAGGGCGCCCATGCGGGCGCCCTGCCCAGTACCTTATCCGCAAGAATGCACCCCCTCCCCCTCCTCTCGCCCGCATAGATGTCCATTCACCCACATGGACACCTGTATGAGGGGGGCTCCTTCCTAGGCCAGACCAATTAAGAAGCGTCGCGTCCTTGGCGTACATTCGTGTTTTAAGCCCAATTACAACTATTAAGGAAAACTCACTTGAATAACCATAAGGAAATCTTAGCGAGATGACATTCGTGACGCTCGACATCTGCGCTCACCAGATAAACGCATGACCTTTCAGAAGGTGGAAAAAATAAGGGAAAGAAAGGTGGCTCTTTTGTGTAGAATGTAGACTAACTGGATTTCTCTAATGTTCCTCTTCTCATCTGCTTTCCTCTCCCTTCCCATCCTTATTCTTACCTCACATCCATCCCTCCCTCCACTCATGTCCCTACATCCCTCCTCCACTCATGTCCCTACATCCCTCCTCCACTCATGTCCCTACATCCCTCCTCCACTCATGTCCCTACATCCCTCCTCCACTCATGTCCCTACATCTTTCCTTAACCTCCTGTCCCTTCACAATGCCCTCCCTCCCTCCTCGACCCCCAACTCATGCTCCCCCTCCGCCTCCTCTCACTTCTCCCCACTCTCTCATGGCACTCCTTCCCTCACCTTTATCTTCCATGTTCCATCCTTCCCTCTTCCTGTTCCTGGCCAGAGAAAACACACCCGCAGGAGTTGGTTGCAGAAAGTAAGATGAATAACACAAGGAGGAGCGATTCGACCCACCAAAATCTCTGCTAATTACACTGTCTCTTCCTGCCAGGAGTCGTATTTTGGCGGACTGGGAGGCAAAAGATGATAAACGGGATGCCTAATTGCCCGCGTCTTCCGCCCTCCCACACCCGCCCCCGCGACCCTCCCGCGACCCCTCCCGCGCCCGCCCCCGCGACCCTCCCGCGCCCGTCCCCGCGACCCTCCCGCACCCGCCCCCGCAACCCTCCCGCACCCGCCCCCGCAACCCTCCCGCACCCGCCCCCACGACCCTCCCGCGCTCGCCCCCGCGACTCTCCCGAGCCCGCCCCCGCGACCCTCCCATACCTGCCCCGGCGACCCTCCCATTCCCGCCCCCGCCACCCTCCCGCCCCGGCGACCCTCCCACACCTTCCCCTGCGACCCTCCCACACCTGCCCCGGCGACCCTCCCACACGCGCCCCAGCTCCACACCTGTCTCCCACAAATGGCTCTAAACTATTCCCTCCCAAAGCATGAAGGAGGGAACTTGTTCAGTTCATTTTAGTTTCCCATCATCAGGGAAACGAAGTCTGTTGAGGTGACTCAGGTGCCACTAGGACTAGACCCAATACTGTCCTCCTCCCGGCTTCCTGTTTACTGCTAGGTGAACAGAGGTATCGGGTATAAGGAAACGTGCCCAAACGTCTCGATCGGATGTGAGAAGACTGCACTAATCCTCCCCCCCCCGTCTGCTAATCTAATAATATTCTTACATTTTCTTACTTGCTAATTGGTTTAGTGCGTCCACCTCTGGACGGTCATTAAGACCACCACAACAGTTTACTGGCCAGCAGTCACCGAGTATACTTTAGTCCTTAACACTGTCCAGGACTACACTCGCAGTGTACATTTATCTAGAAGACAAAGTACATTCTATGAGATGTACATTCAGATGAATGTACAGTGTACATTTATGTGATTGTACATTTCTCATATGCACATTCACTGTGTACATATACATCCGTTGCTCTTCTGCATCATTCTATTTGTAGATGTTACAAAAATAGGTCCGGACCCTATTAGAGCTGATTAAATATTGTGTTTTGTTATCCTGCTCCGGCCCATTACAATTCTTATTAATTAACTCTGCTAAGCCTCTGTATACAAGCAACATTAATTATTACTCAATGCACTGATCTAGCGCCTGTGTGTGTGTGTTTTTAGTGCGAGTTGAACCCAACTCATATTGGTGTTTAGGGTTTAATATTTGGGCGGTACACGTGTGATGGGAACACCTGCCGGATTATCTGGGGGAACTGATGTGGAGGAACTATGTGAGGGATCTGGGTGGGGGAACTGATGTGGAGGGGTGGGGGAACTATGTGAGGGATCTGGGTGGGGGAACTGATGTGGAGGGGCGGGGGAACTGATGTGGAGGGGTGGGGGAACTGATGTGGAGGGGCGGGGGAACTGATGTGGAGGGACGTGGATACTGATGTGTTGGGGCGGGGGTGGGGCTCTTTCCAAATGAAATCGCGAAATAAAATAGTTTCAGAGATATGAAATCGTCGAATAAGGTCACCAAAGCAAAAGGTGATTGCTAAACAAAATGTCATCACAAATAAAATACGATCGCCAAATAATGTGTGGTCGGGAAAAGCGCCAAGACGTCGGGAAAATGTGATCGCCAAACAAAATGGGCGTTTGAGTGAGTGTGAGTGTGTGTGTGTGTGTGTGTGTGTGTGTGAGTGTGAGTGTGTGTGAGGGAACAGACTCATGACAACAGGAAGCGGCCGCGTCACCATTAGTGTTGCTGGGTATCCCTGTGTGGGCTCCCTTAAGTAAATCACCCCAGTAAGGTCAACGTGAAATTTCCGGTTGCTTCTTTACCACAAACTCTGTTGATGTTAGTACTATGAGCGCTTCGCCTGCGAGCTAAAGATGAACACTTAAGCCTTTAACTTGTCTAATTTGCATACGCTCGGAGTATCATGTCTGCAGAGGAGGGAAGAGTGTCTTGGGGACTTGAGCCGTTCAGATAAAGGTCTGTCGCGGGTCTTTGTGTGTACAGTGTTGCTATGGGGGCTTGGTCCTTCCTCCTGGACCCGCTAGGTGGTGCTTACTAGTCACTTACTATATATATATATATATATATATATATATATATATATATATATATATATATATATATATATATAACAGTAATCTCATAAGTGAGCGTCTCCTCTTCTTGCTCTCTCCTCTCGGCTCTGCTCACCAATTTCGTTCTCCTCTGCTTCCTCTAAATCATCCGACACACATGATTGGTGCCGTCACTAAAAACTTTTGGAAAATTTCCTCGATCATCATAAATTCCTTTCATTAAATTTCATTTTTTTCTTGGTCACTTAACCCTACTTGCTTTCTTTTGTATGAGTTTCTTTCTTTTTATTGTTCTCGCTGCTTGGGTGTAAGTGTGTGTGTGTGTGTGTGTCTGTGTGTGTGTGTGTGTGTGTGTGTGTGTGTGTACTCACCTATTTGTACTCACCTATTTGTACTCACCTATTTGTGCTTGCGGGGGTTGAGTTTTGGCTCTTTGGTCCCGCCTCTCAACTGTCAATCAACTGGTGTACAAATTCCTGAGCCTACTGGGCTCTATCATATCTACATTTAAAACTGTGTATGGAGTCAGTCTCCACCACATCACTGCCTAATGCATTCCATCTGTTAACTACTCTGACACTGAAAAAGTTCTTTCTAACATCCCTGTGGCTCATGTGGGTACTCAGTTTCCACCTGTGTGTGTGTGTGTGTGTGTGTGTGTGTGTGTGTGTGTGTGTGTGTGTGTGTGTGTGTGTGTGTGTGTGTGTGTGTGTGTGTGTGTGCATGCGCGCGCGCGTCAGTTCAAGAAGTGTGGGGTCAGGAAGATCTTCCTGATTTTGTGTTTGGGGCCTTCATGTATGATCTGGTCTAATTACACCAGCGTTCACGGACGCTGTTCTTCCGATGTTTGTGTGGAAGCTTCACCTGATCTTAACCTCCGGATGTTGTGTTATTCTCGTATTGCTTCTTTGTTTTGCTTTCGATTCTTTCACAATCTCTCTCTCTCTCTCTCTCTCTCTCTCTCTCTCTCTCTCTCTCTCTCTCTCTCTCTCTCTCTCTCTCTCTCTCCGGAGCTCACCCTGTGCCTCTTCCTGCTTTCAGTTAGTTCCTCAAGGTATCGTCTTTTAAACCACGGGCTGATAGTGTGCTCTCTTGGTCTGTCGTCCTGGATAGAATTTATGTTGTTACATCTGAATATCTGTGGATATCAGAGTCTAGATAGCCTACGATCTTTTGTTCTTTTGTGTCTCGAGCATTTGTCTTCCAGTCATCTTTCTCACTGTCATATGTCTCACTATTCTTTCTGGCACACACACTCCTTTCCTGGATGGTTTATCTTCCCCTCTCTCTCTCTCTCTCTATCCTTTTGACTCTTATTTGAACTGTGTAGGTAAAGACAGAAAGGGAGAGATGGAAGAGGAAGATATGTGTGCGTTTGAGAGAGAGAGAGAGAGACAGAGAGAGAGAGAGAGAGAGAGAGAGAGAGAGAGAGTGTGCGTGCATGCTTGGGTGTGAGATGGGAGAGATGGAGGGAGAGAGAGACTTTTGGAATGCATGTACTTTGCTCGGACGCATCTCCCACCTTTATCTCACTATACTCCTTTCCCTTTTATTCACCCCGTAAAATCTCCTTCCCTTCCCTCTCACCACCTGCCTCCCCGCTGCTCCTCTCACCACCCACTTACCGTACAGCTTGATGAGTCCCTCCGTCTCTCCGCGGGAGTTCTTGGCGACACACTTGTAGGGTCCGTAGTCGTCCTCCTTCCGCAGGCTCCTGATGGTGAGCTTCATGTGCGTGCGGTACGACACTTCCCCCGGCTGCCGGCACAAATATACAACACTGTTATCACTCTCCTGTGTAATACTGAGCTTTGCATCGTTGTCATCCATAATCTGAATCCTTTTATTTGGAAATTCATATTTCGAAATTTTGATAAATGGGGAAAAATAGCACCAACAGATTTATTAAAATGTTGTGCGAGTAGATAGCAGGAAAATATCGACCATAGGTTCTGTATATTGTTAAAAATTGTGGTGCTTATATCTGCTTAACCTAGCTTATACTAGTACATGGCATTTGGCTGGGTAATAAACAAAATATGTATGTTTACGATGCAAGTATCACGGGACGTTGCTCTCACCAACCGGGGAATGCTGCCACTATGTAAACAAATAACTGGAACCAGTCACAGTTGAAGTATCAGTGGTGAACCCTTACAGTGTGGGATCTAAATTACCAAGGAATTTCAAGCTTCATTTCTCATTAACAGGTTTTGCTATTTATGGACAAAAGACCCTGGAATATTGAGCAAGTTGGTAAATACAACAATCACACAAATATGGGGTTTAACGACTTATATATATATATATATATATATATATATATATATATATACATTGACATATTTAGGTCAACCACAATAAACGTGGGTAATATATAATTTCCTTTACTTGGTCCCCTAGGAGCCTCGAACCACCGACTCCAATTGGGGGAGAAGATAGCTCTATCAACCACGTTATGAACAGCCACAATAAGGAAGGATTTTAGAAGCACCTAACTGCTCTCCAACTGGAACTTTAAGCCTTCCCTGAGCTGCCACACGAGCATGGAGGAATTAGTGATCCACGCTCCAGTCATATACATTGTCAATCACATTAAACATGAGTAATAGCCAATAATAACAATGGGGAGAGGAGACGAGCTAGTAATAACAATAGGGAGGATACGAGCTAGTAATAACAATAGGGAGGATACGAGCTAGTAATAACAATAGGGAGGATACGAGCTAGTAATAACAATAGGGAGGATACGAGCTAGTAATAACAATAGGGAGGATACGAGCTAGTAATAACAATAGGGAGGATACGAGCTAGTAATAACAATAGGGAGGATACGAGCTAGTAATAACAATAGGGAGGATACGAGCTAGTAATAACAATAAGGAGGATACGAGCTAGTAATAACAATAGGGAGAGGAGATGTGCTAGTAATAACAATAGGGAGAGGAGATGTGCTAGTAATAACAATAGGGAGAGGAGACGGGTTAGCAACAGCAGTAGGGGTAGAGGTGACGGGGGCTCCAGGAAGGAGCGTGATGTTACCCGCTCGGTGATGTGGTACTTGCGTCCCTGGTGGAGCATGACCCCCTGGTTCCTGGTCCAGTAGGTGAGGGCCGGCGGGTGGGCCTCGATGGTGCACTCGAGGGTGATGCTGTAGCCCAGGGGCGCCCCGACCAGCTGGTGTGGGATGCTCATCATGGGAGGAACTGTGGATAGGATGAATGGTTGCTGTCACAGGCTCACACATCTCTACGTCTCACTGCTATTAACGTCTTACAACGTGAATAATGACAAAGTGTAATATCATACAGGTATTTTTAATTAGTACTTACCTAGTTGCGCTTGCGTGGAGGTTGAGACTCAATTCTTGGGTTCCAGCACTGGTGTATAAGTGCCTGAGCTCATGGATGTCTGTAATACCTTTATCTGAAGCTATGTTTGTATAGTCAACAACAGGACCTTGCTTTGCCATTGCCAGCGGAAGATCAGGCTTGCAAGTACATCTTGATGCTTATAGATACAAAGGTAGAACTCTCAGAGAGCTTCAGAGTAAGGTATGTCAGAGTACAGGGGGCTCATGAACCTGTACACCAGGTGATTGTATGCTGAACGTCGGAGCTCATTTATTGGTTGGTTAAGACAATGACAGTTCCTGCATGTATCACTGTATTTAATTATGAAGTTGTGTGTATAAGTTTGCTTAAATAACGTAATCTGAACCGTTATCTTTGTTTATGACTCAGTGAAGGTTCTTACTTGCTGTGTGTGTGTGTGTGTGTGTGTGTGTGTATGTGTACTCCTTGAGGTGTTTTCGGGGCTTAGGGTCCCCGCGGCCCGGTCGTCGACCAGGCCTCCCCAAACTCTACTTTCACACACATACCATACAATTCAGTTGTACTCCCAACTAGGTGAGTTCAACTTTACTTATGTAGTTGTACTCACCTAGTTGTGCTTGCGGGGTTGAGCTACAGATATCTGGTCCCGCCTCTCAACTGTCAATCAACTGGTGTACAGGTTCCTAAGCCTACTGGACTCTATCATATCTACATTTGAGGTTGTGTATGGAGTCAGCCTCCACCACATCACTGCTTAATGCATTCCATTTCTTAACTACTCTGACACTGACAAAATTCTTGTGTCACTGTGGCTCATCTGGGTACTAAGTTTCCACCTGTGTCCCCATGTTTGTGTGCACCCTGTGTGTGTCCGGCGAGTGTGAGCATGTGTGTGAGTGTGAGTATGAGTGGCTGTGAGAGTGTGTGTGTGAGTGTGGGTGTGAGTGTGAGTGGGTGGCTGACACTTACAGTCGACGCTGACCTGGATCCTCTTGCTGACGATGGGTGGAACACCGTTGCGGGCGATACAGAGGTAAGCTGCCATATCCATCCTGCTGACCCGCGCCAGCTGCAGACTGGCGCCATTGTACTCCGTCACTGTCAAGGCAGAGGACACGCTCAAGGCACACAAATACCTACAAGAATGTCAATGAACTTCTCTTCTCAAATACAGATTAATAAATGGCTCGCTGCATGACTTCACAGAAGACTCATCGTGTTTACAGACATTAACTCATTATTATTTAACATATTTGAAGTAGATGCCAGATGTAAAGATTACAATATGTTATATCTACATTTTAGTGAGAATCTTGTTCTTCTCTACGTAATAGATTAACAGTGTGGGAAGAAGCTTATGAAATGGAAGGTACGTAACTGTGTTATTATCATGGCTATTGTAACAATCTAGGCTGTTGTAACTATGTCAGTAAGGATAGGATGTATGTTTCCTAATGTTAGAGGATTGCTGTCAGTTGACAGCTGAGAAATTTATGAAATATGAACATGTTTATTATGATGTTAGACACTCAAATATTTGTCAAATTTTATTAGTTAGGTTAGCTTTTGTTTGTGGCATGAGTTGAATTGTGGGTTTGGATACTAAACCTCGTGATTTTTAACAAATTAACAAGGTTTACTAAGTGCTTGTGCGGGGGGGGGGGGGGGGGGTTGTAACAAACTAGGCTGTTGTAAGAATTATCCAGAGTGGTTTATCGACAAAAGAGAATGGGAAGCTGAGCCCGCATGATGACCTGGGAACCTGACCCCAGGGGAATTCGCGGTGGAAATAACCGACGCTTTGTTCATAGCTGCGTATAATGAACCATCCTATAGTATTCAGTAATTTAGAGAAGTAAGTAATTATCAAAAGAAGTAATTTAGAGAAAATTAGCCTTTATTCATTTTGCATTAAAATTGTATTGTATAATAGTACTGGATACAATATCAAGAGTATTCTAATTATTGAGTTTAAGTCACCATCAGTGACGTCACGAATCAGATCTAACTTGTAAGGCGGAGTGACCGGCGGTCATAGGTCATCAGGGTTGACAGGTCTACTATTTCTCAAAGTTCAATTAACCATTTTTGGGGGATCGGGAACAGCTCTGCCGTTAGATGTTTGTGTAATTTAATTTCAGTAAAATAATTCAACCAGTCTGGATCAATTCAGTACAAACAGAGGTTAATTGTTATAACTTAACCTTGCTAAAGTAACTGGGTAAGCGAGGCGGAAGGTTACAATGCTCTAGCCTGGGCTAGACCAGACGAGGGATAGATCAGTGTGGAAACAGGAGCAACTGGGAGAGGCCAACCATCTTACCTCTCCCCAAGACCAGCCCAACATCTTTAGCTGGTTGCCCAAGGTATAGTTGCTATGGTTATTTATAGAGGTAGTCTCATTGCCAGTCAGGTCAAGTAGGGAGTGTTAAAGTGACAGGGAGTGAACATATTTAGATTTTTGTTTTAGTTTTTCTTTTAATAAATTAAAATTTGTTAGTATTTTGCATTTTATTATTTCCATGTGTTATGTATACTTGTCCTGGTCACGTGGTCCACACGAGGAAGAGTTGGATTGGGCGCCGATTCTAACATCGATTCTAACATCGAATCATTCCCGTGGAATTAATTTCACACTCTTAAGTTTCCACTGTCATCGGTTATAGTGGGGATCAAGCCCCAAGGTTGATTAATTAGCGTGATCGATCCAGACCTCGATCATTGCTCGGTGATGCTGGTCTGGTGGTGGCAGCGTAGAGGCGACTCTAGGGTTTTGCTCAAAGCCTAGGTCACGTCATACTGGGTGTAGAATCCTAAGTCGGTCAATCGTCTTAGGACCAAATGGCGTGGAGTTGGTTTTGGTAAAAGTTTTGGAGTCCCTTGGTAGAGAATAAAAAGTAAGAATACGGGTAGAGGGAGTAGAAGGTAGATAAGAGAGAGGAACGCTAACCCGTGTTACACTATCACACAGGTGACAGAAGGTCAGCATAAATGAAGTCAGTGTGGGGGCAGTTGCCTGGGAGTGCCCGGGGGCGCCCTCCCGGGAACTTCAGATAATTGGAAATGAGAGAAAGACCGAGGGAGGAAAATATGGATTGATTCTGTTGTGACAGCTACACTGGGAGTAAAAGGAAATAACAGTAGCAGTGACAGACAACCTGCAGGACTACTTAATATGATTGGCGTCGGGAGAAAACAAAGTAGCGATTATTATCATATATAACTCGCACCAAATAGCAGGAATATATAAGACAAAATCAATGGAAATTGTTTCAATCTCAAGGAAATTGTAGCCCCATGTGCCAAAGGGAGGAAGGGCTAAACCACCTAATGCAGGTCAACCAATTTCACAGAGAAACAGATTGGCCAACAAAAACCACAAAGGTGTATATAGACGTACAGAGAAAGGTTAGGGGACACAACAGATTAAGTTTTGTTTGCTTGAGATAATAGTAGACGTCCTGCGGTCTCGAGAGAATATGGAGTTGCGTTCTGGTGGTCGAGGCTGAAGTGTCCACTAACCGTTCTCTGTACGTCTATACATCACGTTGTGAATAGTGACGTAACACATCACTGTTTACAAAACTAGCAGTGCAGGTTACTACTGGAAGGCAGCGACAGTTGCGAGGTAGCATTTGAATGCATAGTTGAAATGAGGAAGGGAAGGAGGGGGGGGGGGGGACCACACTAAGAAATGGACCAAGAAGAACACGAGGTTCCTGAACAGGGGATTACAGGAGGGCACAAGACTCCTTGCAAAAGGTCCCGCTGGCAAACGAACTGAAGGGTAAGAAATCAAATGAGTTGATGAAATATGTTTGTCAGAAATGTTCATCTCATTGAGGGAGAAATTCCGTGATGAGAAAATCCTTGATTCAGTAGACAGTGCAGAGACGCAAAGGATAGGGCATGAAAGTCAAGGAAGAAATATATAGAACATGACACGAATGTAAACAGGCAAAGATAAGGAGAATTAAAATCGAGTACACAAGAGTCAAAAGAGATACAGAACAACTTTTTGGTAAATATAAGAAAAGTAAAGGACCCGACCAAGCTTCTTCAAAGTCAGAAAAGAAGGAAAACGACAGTTCCAGAAAATGTCGTTAAATTAGACGGAGAAATCCTATCAGAAAGTTAAAGTAGACGGAGAAATCCTATCAGAAAATTAGAAAGAGGTATATGACAGATCCGATAGCAACACCAGGAGGTTCCAGATTCAGAAACTTCCTGGAACTTAGGAGATCTAGGATGGGATACGATAGATAGTCAGAAGCAACAATAACAGTACAACAGTCACTGATGACGAGGAATAAGAGATACCTGTACCTGGAGGAATGGCAGTAGAACTAAACTACAAGTGTACTATTTTTATCTGCTAACTACAATATTTATTTAGCAATTGAGATTGGCGAACTCCTCCTTGATCACTGGGAAAAGATAAATGTAGTGTTGACAAGTAAGAAATGAAAAGACAGGAAGCTCTAAACACCAGACCAGATTTACTCATTGTTTCCTTGCAAAGTACCGGAGAAAAATAATTAGGAATAAAATTACTTCATATTGTTCCTGGATATAAGTTTTTTTTTTTTTTAACCAGAAAGCAACATGGTTTTAAAGATGGCAAATCATGCTTGGCTATGCACACGATTAGTCACAATAACGTGGCTAAAATATGTTGACCAGACCACACACTAGAAAGTGAAGGGACGACGACGTTCTAGATTGGATTCTGCGAGAGGCTCATCCAAGACACAATCTGAGAAAGAAAACTAGGCAGATTGCATTGTCTTAGACTACCAACAAAATCAGTTGATACTGTTCCTCACTAAAGACCGGTGTATAAGATGGAGAAGAAAGCTTTGATACCGGGAGAGACAATGAGCTGTTAAAGGCAGTACTTGACAGAAAAACAGGTCACAATCAGAGAGAAGATGCTAGACTGAAGACGTGTAGCAAATGCGGATCTGAAATCGTTGCCGTTCCTAATCAACGTGAATGAACTACCCTAATGATGCACGATCAATCAACAAATGATCAATCAACCGAGTATTGAGCCTAACCTCTGAAGGTCTTGTTGAGGTTGATCTTCATGTGGTCCTCTCGCCTCCAGGTGATGGCTGGGGTGGGGGTGCCGGTGGCACTACACGTCAGCGTGATGTTAGCTCCCTCCTGCACCATCACGTCGCCAGAGCTCTCCCCATCTATGATGTTGGGCGGTACTGTAGACAACATCACTGGGCATTAGAAGGTCGTTATGGAACAGTTTGTGGAAGGGTAGGTGCGGGTGTGAGGGTAGTGAGAAGGGGGACGCGTCAGAGAGGGATCGGGATAATGAAGGCAATAATAATGGATAATAATAATAATAACAATAATAATAATAATGGATAATGGAACAGTAACCCATAAAATATAAGCTATGAGAACAATATGTAAATTAAGGAGTATTGTACGATGATTGGTGGGCCCCACAAGATTTCACAAGGCCCCATAAGGTGCCACAAGGTGCCACAAGGTGCCACAAGTTCCCACTAGGTGCCACAAGGTGCCACAAGGTCCCACAAGGTCCCACAAGGTGCCACAAAGTAAGGCCTTTGACCACTTCCATTTCTCGTCCTCATAGAATTACACCCCATAATTTTGTGTCATTCTTCGCTGAAGATCCCAAAACATGTATGACATTCGGTAGAACACGGAAAATATTATTAATATCAACAAAGTTTCACAATGGGCTACGGAAGGGGGGGGGGATGTGAGAGTTGCAACCCGTTCTCGCACTTGCCTATAGTCAATATTTGGCATATGAATAAGTGCATATGTGGCATACTTATGTATTGTGAATATTTTAGTTTACCTTGAAATGCTGAATAGAAAACCCCAACGAGAAATGCTTACTAAACGTAAACTCAGACAAATGAAGAGTCATGAGGGTTGGACTAGGAGTAAGATGACTCGCACAGCAACACTCAATGAAACAGAATCTGCCTCCTGCGCCAGAAAACAGAAATACCTGGAAACAGAGGTAACTAAAAATCTAATACAAGAAGCACACATTAGCAGAATAAAGTCAGTGGTATATGCCAAACTGGCCAACGTGCGAGCAGCCTGTGTAAAACCTTCCGAGTGGTATACAAGACGAATATTAGGTCCAGTCTTGTGTATGCCGCCCCAGCAAGGAACCCCTCACACAAAAAACTAAAAAATCTGAGGGCGCCAGGGCTACGAGGAAGGCAGCGGGAACTGGACCCCATCACACTTGAATAGGGAATGAATGAGGAACATGACTGCGTCAAATAATATTCTAGAGAATTGACAAAGTGTTCATTGAAGCCATGTTCAAAGTGATGAACAACAGAACAAGGAATAGATGGAAATTAGAGATGCGTAAGAGACACAAAAACGTCAAAAATGAATTGGATAAGACGTCAAATCATTGAGGTGAAAATAAGTGGCTTATTTGCCATCGTCGCATCAAGGCTCTCATGGGAGGGTTGTCGCCATCAGGGGGCGTGACGAAACCTGAATGAATGAACAATCCAACACTTGGTGCATTCTGCGTCACAATGATAGGAAGAACCGACACCGAAGGATCAAAAGGCTCAATAATTAATACATATTTGTATCGGGAAATTGGGAGAGGAAATATAATAGGGAAGGACCAGGTCCGGTCTCTGACCAGGGAGCGTGGTCAGAGACCGGACCGCGGGGATCTTGACCCCCGGAATTAACGCAAGGTAACCTCAAGGTAAGGGTGTGCCTATAGACGGATGAAACTAGAACGCACACTAACACACACGCACACTAACACACATACACACGCGCACACACACACACACACACACACACACACACACACACACACACACAAACACTCATGCACAAACTACACATACGAGAGGCAAGGACCTTGTCAGCAGCTGATACCATTATGTTTATATAAAAGTTAAACCACCATGTTACCACTGTCGACGAGATCAACACTACAGAACCAGACCCACCTATAAAACACTCACGGGAACAGCTTTTCATTGAGACACAAGACAGAGGAAAGTCATGAAAGACAATCGACAGAAAAGTGTCCCCATAAGAACACAGAAGATCTCTTACGGCCCCAAAGGGAACGACTTGAATGTCGTTTACACCTTTACGTAAACACAGGGATTACCAGACCCAACAATCCCAGTATATAGGCAGGACGACAACTTCTCTTTGAAATCGCCTGACAAATTCACAAACAGTAAAGTCCCATTAATGACCATATTCCACACGCCATTAGCCCATCACCACAGAGATCCTGACAACAAACACCAAAATAATCGACAGATAGAGCGACAGTAGGAGACAAGACATAACTGAATAGGTCTGCCAATTAGCGAGGTCCTAATAGGTTTAACACAGTCACAGCGAGACAAAAATGGAAGCATGAATTGTTTCACGCTTCAGAATTGTTGTGACGCGCGGTTCAGACACCAAGATAAACAATAGAAGGCCAGCTGCACCTTAATTACGTAGAACAGGAAGAGAAAAGGTTCCAGGTACCGGAGAAGATGGGTTTGAAACTCCTGAGACTAGTGACAAATGACGATCATTTAGATCCGTGATGCCGGATTGGTGGCCCCTCTGAGCCACCTCAAGGTTCATGTGTGACAGTGGACTGGTACAAGACTACCGTTGACACGCGGCTGGTACAAAACTCCCGTTGACACGTGACTGGTACAAGCCACGTCACCGCGTAAAGTAACCAGTGCAGCACTATAATCCCTCACAATACTGCTGCTGGCGACACAAAAGCGGCCCCGAGTCATAGCTATTTAACTGAAGACTATCTGGCCTTCATCAGAGCCTCCCCCCTCCCCCACACACGGCATACTTCCTATGGCTCAGCATCCTGACACAGTCTACCAGTGCTCCTACAGCATTTCCACGGTGAATTTACCCCTCGTTCTCCCTCATTCTCAGGGACAGGAAGCCCTTTAGGCTGATCAAAGTCCTCCCTCTACTAACCAACGCCTCTCTCTACTGACCTTACCCCAGAATACATCCCTCAACGCTCGACTAGCTCCTAGGTACATATTTACTGCTAGTTAAGGATAACTGGCCATCCCATGTCTTGTTACTTTAACTATATTAAATCTGCATTGTTTTTCTGAGCAATTGAAAATAAGTTTTGATAGTTCGTGGAGTTGTGTGAAGTTTTTTTTAGCGAATTAATTTCTCTCTCGATTATTTACTAATTAATAAACTATCGAGAAGTGTTGCTGGAAATAATATGAAGGTGAAAACTTGGTGCCAATGGATAGTAACTGTCTTTTGCAATATTATATTGCTTGGCTTCGTAACATGAAAATGGAGAGAGAGCGGGAGAGAGAGAGAGAGAGAGAGAGAGAGAGAGAGAGAGAGAGAGAGAGAGAGAGAGAGAGAGAGAGAGAGAGAGAGAGAGAGAGAGAGAGAGAGAGAGAGAGAGAGAGAGAAAGAGAGAGAGAGAGGAAGGAAGGAAAGAGAGAGGAAGGAGAGAGAGAGGAAGGGACGAGATAAGAAGAGGCTGGTGCTGTATAAGACAGGGGGGGGGGGGGGCGTATCGGGGTTGGGCTGAGACGCTGGCAATAAGCAGGTGTCGGGCTTCCCTCAATCAGCAGGCAGCATTTGTCAGACCTCACACGCCGGCACAAACCAATCTCTTACCCGGCACGTGGGTCCTCCGGAGACGTCCTCACCACCACCCTCGGCTCCTCCTCCGTCGCCGCCCGCCTATTATCACAATTAATAAAACATAATAAACAAACTGATGTTTCGAGGGCAAAAAAAGACGATAAAGTGCTGAGCAGAGTAACAGGAGAAGATACGGTTCAGCTGGGGCCAAATTCACGAAGCAGTTACGCAAGTACTTACGAACGTGTACATCTTTCCTCAATCTTTGATGGCTTGGGTTACATTTATTGTAACCTGTATTTATTGTTACATTTATTTATGTTCCCTGAGTTTCAGAGCATTATTTCATGGCAACGATCTCACTGCTGTCATATCTCATACGAATTAGGCTTATTCACCGTCAACGCTTCTTAAGAAGAAAATCAGATTAGTACTTAAGAGTTTCTTCATAGTTATCCCGTTCATGGTAATTAATATGTGCAATGTTGACCTTGGTTCATCGGGGTCAAACTCCAACACGACTTTTAATTATGGGACAAAATCTGTGATTAGTTTGTGCGGAAATGTGGTACTGGAACAGAAAGTATGAGTAAAAGGCCAAGATGGAGGTAATCACAGAAACGCAACTAAGGGAACAACCAGGCACATTTTCCCGGTTAAACTGTTCTCTGATTTATACGGATGAGTAAGTGGGACGTACAGGCAAAGTACGGATGAATAAGTGGGACGTACAGGCAAAGTACGGATGAATAAGTGGGACGTACAGGCAAAGTACGGATGAATAAGCGGGACGTACAGGCAAAGTACAGTTGAGTAAGTGGGACGTACAGGCAAAGTACGGATGAATTAGTGGAACGTACAGGCAAAGTACGGATGAATAAGTGGGACGTACAGGCAAAGTACGGATGAATAAGCGGGACGTACAGGCAAAGTACAGTTGAGTAAGTGGGACGTACAGGCAAAGTACGGATGAATAAGTGGGACGTACAGGCAAAGTACAGTTGAGTAAGTGGGACGTACAGGCAAAGTACGGATGAATAAGTGGGACGTACAGGCAAAGTACAGTTGAGTAAGTGGGACGTACAGGCAAAGTACGGATGAATAAGCGGGACGTACAGGCAAAGTACAGTTGAGTAAGTGGGACGTACAGGCAAAGTACAGTTGAATAAGTGGGACGTACAGGCAAAGTACGGATGAATAAGCGGGACGTACAGGCAAAGTACAGTTGAGTAAGTGGGACGTACAGGCAAAGTACAGTTGAGTAAGTGGGACGTACAGGCAAAGTACAGTTGAATAAGTGGGACGTACAGGCAAAGTACAGTTGAATAAGTGGGACGTACAGGCAAAGTACGGATGAATAAGCGGGACGTACAGGCAAAGTACAGTTGAGTAAGTGGGACGTACAGGCAAAGTACAGTTGAGTAAGTGGGACGTACAGGCAAAGTACAGTTGAATAAGTGGGACGTACAGGCAAAGTACGGATGAGTAAGTGTGGTATTCAAACAAAATGTACAAATGATTTTGCATTTAATTGAACTCGGAAACTTAAATGACATTCAGGTTCAACATCTGA